TAGTTAAAGGGGAGAGGTTGCAGATGAATGCAGACTGGACGAGCTGTTATTTGAAAGAAAAAGGGAACTCTGTGGCATAACTTGTCTTACAGTTTAAAAAGGCTACATTCAGTTCTTGAAGCTTTATTGGCAGAAGTTGTTTGTGCACATTTTGCCCAGTTATACTTATTTTTTGCAAACTGCACTGCAATGCTCAGAAATGTCTAGATTTTAACATTGTGATTTGGTCACTGCCAGGTAGTCTACCCAGTGGCACAGCTAGATAATTTTAGAATGTGGGCTTATTAGTTTTTTGCAGGACCCCCTTAGATGGCCACGGGCTATCGCTTCAGTTTTGAGGCACACAATGAATATTTCTGTTCTCTCCCCTAACCCTGCCACCTATTCCATGCTTCAACTGTTTCTACAATCCCATTTGTCAAAACTAATTTAAAAAATATATTCAGAACATGCGCAGTTTTGCATTTTAAACTTGCCTATATAATCATGACGACTACAGAAATAAAAAGGAATTTACTTCTCTTGCCCTGATGTGTTCATCATGTGCTGCTCTCTGGGTGGTTATTTGGCTTGCGGGTGGAGGGGAAGCCATGTACTGGGATCTTGGACTTTGGCCCAAGGTCCAAGCCTATTATTCTGCATTTATATCCTGGCTTTTTTCCTCTTGCAAGGAACCCAAGGAAGCTTAGAAGGTTCTCGTCTTCATTTTATTCTCACAACAATGCTGGGAGGCAGGCTGGGCTGAGAGTCTGCAACTGGCCCTAAGCCACCTGTGAGCTTCAGGACTGAGTGGTAACAAGAACATGCATCTCCTGAGTGGTGTCCCAACACTCTGATCACCACAGTGCATTGACTTGCACTGGTTTACACTGGCTATTCAACCAGGAGGCAGTCAATGGACTCCGGGGAGCAGCAGTAGAAAGAAGAAAGGCTTGGAATAGGGATGGATAAATGAGTCTGTTCTGCTTCCTCCCATGTTCATTTTGTAAAAAAAAAAAATCCCATCAATTTATTTCCTTCCTGTTTATGATAAAATCCTTCCTTGTAAGTTTAACTTGTGTTAACTGCCCAGAGAGCCTTAGTGATTGGGTGGCACATACATACATACATACATACATACATTCTTATTAAACATAAATCCCAAGCCTATCAAACCAAATTGACCCTCATCCCTAGTTGAGAAGCAACTGAGGAGAGAACTTAAGCTCAAGGAGAGACCTTGGACAGGCTCAACCAGGCAGAACTGTGAAGGTCCAGCAGTGAGCCCCCTGCTGGGGAAGGCCTGCAAGTTCAGGTGACTTATCACATGGACAGTATTCCAACATGAAGCCAGGATTATTCCTCCAAAACAAGTCACCTTTACCTTACCTTTCAGGCACATGCACACAGAGAACCCGTCTTTACAAAACTGGTACATGCGTGGGTTCAAGAGGCTGCATTGTTGTATAGGATGGGAGCATGCATATTTTTAGTTATTTATTTATTAAAACATTTTTATGCCGCCCCATTTGCCGAAGCCTCGGGGCGGCTTACAACAATAAATTAAAATAACATTTTAAAATATATACAGTAAAATACAAATATATGATATAAAACATACAATATAAAACAAGCCGCCCTGGCCAGATAAAATTCAATAATATTAACATTTAAAATACTGCTTAAATAAAAAGGTCTTGGCCTGGCGCCGAAAAACAAATAACGACGGCGCCAGGCGGACCTCTCTGGAGAGCACATTCCATAGATTGGGCGCCACCGCTGAGAAAGCCCTCCTCCGAGTACCCACCCTCCTAACTTCTTCCACGGAGGGCTCCCGGAGAAGGGCCTCTCCCGCCGATCTCAGGGGGCGGCTGGGCATACAAACTATCAGTTATGAGCACTATCCAAAATAATTGCAATGCTGTTCAGTTTTCATTGTCCATGAAAACAGACTCACGCCTTTTCTTTCCTGTGAAAAACTGCTCTTCAGCGCTGTATCAGAAGATGATCCAGAATCTCTCCCACATGCCCCATTTTTCATAAGGTGACCAGCACTGAGAAGTTGGGTAGCCGTTCTTCACTTTGTTTCTCTTAATTAATAAAACAATCTCAAGCATTTTTGTTGCCCCAGGTGGAGAACAAGATAGCGTTCCACATCCAGGAGCACACTGAATGGTCAGGCAATTTTGGAATTTGTAAGTGTGTGTCCAGTTGAAGCCTAAAAATACAAACCAGTGGGGGGGGGGGGGGTGAACACAAGCCCCAAACTTGGAGGAGCACAGATGTCCTATATGGGCAAGAAGAGAGTGGTGGCAATTTTCACCTCCATGCCATTTTCACCCTGCAACTTAGCTAGATGGCCAATTTTGAGCTGTTTTGGACAGGAAAGGAAGATGGTTGGAGCACTGCCAGGATATATCAAATACTGGTGGAAACAGTCTCTTCCAGTCACCCAGGAGGGCTCTTCACCCCTTCTCTGAAACCACTGTTACGACCTTGGAGGCAGAACCCATGTGTTCTTTTCCATGCTGACTACAAGAGGGAACCCTTTTCCAACCATGGAGATGGGAGTCCTTATGTTCTTATGCCCTTCTAGATGCTCTCTAGAGGCCATAGGATCACATTGCCTCATTCTTAAATTAAAAGGAAGCATTTGATTAAAAAAAGTTAGTTTTCTTGCATAGATTTCCCCCAGCAGATGCATACATGCATGAAAGAACAGAAGGGACTACAATTTCACACCTTATTTTAAGATGAAGGATGTTTATGAAAAGAAAATCACAGAGATGCTCTTTGTTGTCTTATACAAGCATCCCATGTTTACAAAAGAAAATATCTCTGGAAAGTTATTAGACAAAAACTGAAAGGGAAGAACAGACAGTGTAAACTGTGATGTTTTTTATTAAAACAAAGAGAAACCTTGTAACTGTTCTGGAGCAGCTCCCAGTTGTTTCATGCTCATCCAAGATAATTTTTCCAGTGGATTGCATCCAGTAAGTTCATTAAGCAATAGTGCTTACTGCCTACCTGCACTTATCCATGTTCTGATAACCTCTTGCCTGGCTTACTATATCATATTATATGTGAGGCTGCTTTTGAAAATGGTGTAGAAACTCTAGCTGTTCCAAAATAGGGCAGTGAGATTGTTAACAGTGGCAGTTAATAATGGGGATTGTTAATTGGTCAAGGCGATCATATTATGCCAGTACTTTGCATCCGTACTCTTTGCCAGTCCATTCTGGGCCCCGTTCAAAGTACTGCCATTAACACTGAAAGCCCTGAATGGTTTGAGGCCAGATTACCTGGAGGAATGTCTCCTCCCAGGTACACCTGCCCTGCTTGAACACCAAGATCATTTTCAGTAGTCCTTCTTGGGGAGCCCCCAGAAAAGGAAGTGAGTAGGATGACCTTTTTTATGGCACCCCAACTGTGGAATCCCCAGTGAGGCTCACTGGTATGTTTGCAGCATTAGGTAAAGACCTTTTTATTTTCCCAGGCATTTTAGTTTTTCAGTTTCTGTTTTCAATTTGGTACTTTATTTTAAATATTTGCACTGCCCCTAGCTCCTCTTTCTTGTTACTTTTACATTATACTGCAGTTTTATACTTCTATTTCGTATTTTATCATGTTGTGTTTTATGGTTTTGATTGTTATGAAGTGCCCTCATGCTTTGTTCTTGGGCCAAATAGAAATGCAACAAATAATAAACAAATAGAAACACAGAAACAGAGTGAGTCAGAAGAGTCCTCCTGGGCCATCTAGTCTGACCTCTAGTTCCAGCTAGCTCCACTCATGACATCCCTACCATGTGCCTGTCCAGCCTATCCCCTCACTGTTGGGCTTCAATCACCTCCCGGGGAAGCCCATTCCATATCCCAGGGGTCCTGAATGTCAGGAAGTACTTCCTGGCATCCACCCTAAATACCCCTTTTGCCACGGTGCTATCAAATTTCATTGGTAAATCACTGCTGTCCCGCTATTGTTCGAGCAAAGACTAGTTCTTGTGCTAATATAAACCAACTGTTTCACAGCATAATTAGCAGTAGTGCTAGGACAAAGGAACATCGAAAGTTTTTCTCTGTTGAGTCACACAATTGGTCCATTTAGACAGAGAGTGTAGACACGGATTGGTGTTGGCTATCCAGGCACTTTTCTAGCCCTGCCTACAGATGCCAGCGATTGAAAAGGGACATTCAACATGCAGAGCATGTACTCTGCCATGGACATACGGCTCCTTGGATAACCCTTTATATATTTTTTATAATTATGTATTCGGTTTTTTGACCCTCCACCCAGTATCATGTTTTCTGCACAGTCATGGCTCATGGTTTTGTGGATGACTCAGCTGATGGCTGAACAGGAAGTCCCCAGTACAGAGTCAATACAGTGCTGTCTTAACTGGGAACTATGTCACAAAAAGGCAGGTAGTCTGTTTCAGGAGTTTGATGGGAAATGGACCACCTTTTTTTTAAGGCTTCTGTAAAGAGGAGTAGGAAAGAGAGTAGTGAATCTCCCCCAGAATATGAGAAATCCCAGTAGTGTCTCAGCCTCATACCCTCAAGAACAGGGCTAAGTCTCTTAGATGGTCAAAATCAGCAGTCTAAGTGTTTTGGGGGTGATGGGGAGGGAAATATAGAGGCAAACCACACCTCTGCAATCTTTCTGCCTTCTGTTGGTTGCCTGTCATCCCCCAAGTTAGGATGCTGTCTTAATTTAGCTTTATTGTATTATTGCAATCCCCTTATTTTTCCACATAGTGAAACGATTCAGAGGTACAGTGCTTACCCAGGTTGGGTGTCATTTGAAGAGAGGCTACAGGAGACTTAGGAACTTTTGAAGCATTTGCATTTGTTTACAAACACACACATACAGACACAGCAAGCCATCCCCCAATTTTTCTGTGTACAGGGGCACTTGGTGATGATGTACAAAACTGAGCGTTGCAGCAGTCTCATGAAAAGTATGGAGCATGGGATTTGAGGAGACTTTGCCTGCTTATGCAGAAATAATTCTCAGCTTACCTGATTTGCTGTTTCTCATTGGAGTCATTTTTCCATTCTCTTCATCATCACTGTCACAATTTAGTGGCTGAATATCTGGCTCTGGTTCTCCTTGGTTTGTGTTGCATTCCTGCTTTGCAAAGTTCTTCAGTGCAACAAGGCGGTGGTGAATTGCTGCATACAGGGACCCAATGTCCTTTGAAGTTGCCTGTATAACACAAAGGGAATGGATCTGTTAGGTATTGTTTTCTAATGACACCTTGAAAGGTTAAGCTAACTGTAGAGAGATTCCAAAATCTATCTATCTATCTATCTATCTATCTATCTATCTATCTATCTATCTATCACACACACACACACACACACACACATACATTCTGGGCTGAGAAAATGAATAGCTTATTTATATTCTGGTGAAGGCAATTTGTCAAGGATCATCTAATGGGGTTAAATGAGTTCAGATGTCCAGGGCCCAATGAACTCCATCCCGGACTCATAAAGGAGCTGGCAGAAGAACTCTCAGAACCACTGTCTATTATCTTTGAGAAATCACAGGAAAGTGCCAGATGACTGGAGAAGAGCTAACGTTGCCCCCATCTTTAAGAACGGAACAGAACCAAACCTGGGAAGTACAGACCAGTCTGACATCAATCCCTGGGAAAATTCTGGAGCAGATTATAAAGCCCTTTTATATATTACAAAGATGATGGAACACAGTCCTTCATTCATTCATATGCATGTGCATCCAGTTTGCATGAGCTTTCTCTTCTAGCCTTTTGCAAGGGAAGGCTAACATGTTTGCTATATCCAACTGTTCCCAAGCTGCACCAAGTTCCATTGACCTTAGTGGGACATACTTCTGAGTAGATCTGCTTAGGATCACACAGTAAAAACACTTCATTTTAAGACTTACTTGTATTAAAAACACTTTTACAGAACTGTCCTCCAGGTCTGTAGCTGTGATGCAGAGACTCTTTCTATTTGCTCTTTCTATGATCATCTGAGTCCAGAGTTTGGTGTTAAGAATGAGTCTCATGCTTCCTTGATTTCGCATAACTAGAAGCAAGGGGTAGCTGAATATTAAAAAAGAAAGGCAAAGGAAATCGGAATTCCCCAGTACAAAACTCAAGTCATTCACTTCCATTCCCTTCACTTTCTTGGAGTTTAAAGTTGCCCCCACTCCACACACACAGCGTTCCTGTACAGAAACGCCAGAGAAAACAATGTTACACATTTTTGGGGGGAAATTTTACATTCAGACAGTTTGCATGAACAGTCCTTTATTGTTTCTACCATGATGGGCTGTGGTATATGCTGGTGAGCAATTTAAATATTAAGTTGCAGCTGCAGCTTGTCATATTGACTAGTCCTGCTGGGGATGGATTGGGTAAGGGTTAAACAACTTTGCAGAACCTGTGATCTGTTTTAGAGTTTATGTGAGTGTTGCTTAACTTCCACACAACCCACCCGTCTGGGAATAGACAACAGGGCAAACCACTTCTGTTTTCTGGGTGATGACACTCTGCAATCGTGCAGGCTGTATCAGTGATTGGGTTTAATGCTGGGCTCATACAACCTACTCAGATGGTAGGTTGTGAGCCATTTTTGTTTTACAGTATCTCCTTGGGTTGTCTGAACCCAGTCACAGTGACTTGAGTGTGGTTAACGAACCATGCTGCTGGGTTTAGACAACACAACAGGCCTCTCTGAAATAAACATTCACCACAGCTGATCCTGTTTTGCAAACCCAGTCAGTACAGCAGGAGAATTAAATGTAGTTTAGGAGACTCAAATCCGTATGACCTGAAATTCAATTATCCAATATTCCTACATCAAACTAAACCCACCAGTTATGAAAAACATGACTATTTCTCCAGAATGTTAATTATCCAAATGTTTTGAATAACTCTACAAGTTATCTACTGATGTACTATAAACTGACATTTCCGTATTTTTCAAATGACCCTCTCTAGAACATTAAGCATGCCAGAATGGGTGTGTGTGTGTGATTATTATTTAGTTTATTTTTATTATTATTTAGCTTAACTTCCAACTTGCATATTCTTGCTTTTGTGAACAAAGAAGCAAAGGGGCTATGTGTCTGACCAAGAACCTCATTCATACTTTGGCTTATTAGTCTAGGCTTTTCTTTAAAACTATTGCTTTGGTCCTGGGGAGGCAATTTCAGGAGGCCCAGTGGTCATTTGCACCTTCACACACACCATCACAGGTTGCACATTTCTCCACAGCATCAACAATTTTCAAAATATCTGGAAACAAAATTGGGTTTTGCAAAGGCATGAATGGTATAATGAAATATGGAACATGGTAATTAATGATAAACTGATGACAGAAATAAAAATTAAAAAGGGTTAATGAAAGCAAATAAATATAATGAAATTTGGGAAGATTTTGTAAAAGCAGTACTGATAGAAGGCAAAGGCTGCAAACCCAATCAAGATTATATTAATTTCTGGAGGGGATATGGGTATAATTGAAGTGTATTATATATTATTAATTGTTATAGTATGTGAATGGTGGTAGTATTGGTCTCTGGGGTGGTGGGTGCACTCTATCATTTATTCTTTTCTTAATTATTGTGTTCTGGTTATGTTATATTATTATTGTTGTCAGTGCTTTTTTTGTAAGAAAAAAGGTGCTGGAACTCATGAAATTATTTACCTTTCACACGTAGTCGACCACTGTACACACACCCACACACGTCATTTGTGTAACGAAACATAATGGTCACCACCCGCAGTAAGCACTCGGCACGCAACCACACAACCAATCACAAGCCGAGCAGCGCCACAAGCCAAGCAGCACCATCACAACCAGTGTGAAGTACACGTGCATCGGATTCGACACACAAGCAGCCCGCATGCACCGTTTTAATGATTTTGCCGCTGACCTGCTACGCTCGACAGGGCGATTCAAATCCACATGGACCAAACATAAAATTTCCAAAAGTTACTTTTAAAACTTGGAAAATCTGTCAAAAAAAGGTGCCAGAACTCTGTTCCGGTGCATTCTATGACAAAAAAAGCACTGATTGTTGTGAAGTTTTGTATTTATGGTTTTTTTCTGTCAAAAAAATTAAAACGGTGGGGGGGGGAACAATTTTAAGAAATATTTTTAAGAAATAAACATGGTGTCCAGAGTGGCTACAGAGTACCTAAATAAGCAAAATTAACTTCTTTTCAAGTTACTACTGAGTCCCTTTTTAACTAAATGGTTTAAAAAAGGATTCAGATGCAGCTCCAGATGCTTTTCTAAATTTATTTTATTTTTTAAGTTTTGTGGGGCAGTGGTGGCTGCAGTTTGGGTTGCCAGAACTTTCATATGGCTCACAGGTTGCTTGCTTTAGTCATACACAAATTTAATAAATGGATTAATCAGTTATTGCTCACTTGAATAACATTTCATCAATTGGATGATAGCTCTACACTAGATTGTGGTTTCCATCTTTTAAATCCTTTGGCAAGCTGTTACAGCTGTAATATTGGAGTTTCCAGTGTGCAGCCCGTGGACACAAGCATTCTTGTGGACATGTTGCCTGCCACCCACCAGGTTCCCTGTCCTTCCTGATTCGTTTTCTTAATTTTCCTTTTGGGATGCGGTCCTACCGCGATGCCCATAAGCCCTCAAGCTTGGAGGCTCATAAGCTTCCAGTGCAGAGGGGAAGGAATGGCAGAGGTAATCTTTACCTTCCCAGTCTCTCACCCTGCATTTTTGTTAGATGAGGGGGCTTTTGCTCATCTACCTGAGGCACTTTGGAGTCAGAAGGCAGCATAGTGGAACAGCTTCAGGATCCCTTGCATCCTGGCATCCTCAGGCTCTTCCCTTCTCTCCTCTCCAAACTCTCACCTTTGCTTCTGTCCAAGGTTGATTTCCCATTCTTGGAAAACAGCCAGTGAACTTCTTTCTGTGCAGCCAAAATGGGCAGGACAGGGGAACTGGAGCGCCAGTCCCAATATCCAAAGCTGGACCACTGCCTCTGACTTCAGATTGGAGAATCTGAACATTCCTATTGCCTCTAAGATGGTGTCAAGGGGATGTAGAATTGCTTTATTAATTAATATTTTAAAGTAGGAGACGAGTTTGCTGCCAAATGAAATGTTGCCATCTAGTGCTGGCTTTATTTGGGTTCAGAAGAGTGAGCTCAGACCGCACTTGTCATGGCCTTAGATACTTGGAAAAATTATTTCTATTTTAATCTGACCAAGCTGTCTTCTGGGAGATGTGCCATGCCCACCCTGGCAGCTTTTTCCTGAATGGGCATGCCTTCCCTCCTGGCAGCTATTTTGTGAGAGTGTCCAAAGCACTCTTTCAAAATGCCACATGACTCTGGTGAGCCCAAACATTTAGGTTTCCCTAATATAATAAGCATAAATAGGCAGTGTTTGTACTTTTTGGATTAATAATGGCCTGTGGATAGAATTAAAGGTGAAATTAATTCTTACCCAGCCTTGACTGCAACATTCCACACTGATTGCTGGATATATCATTAAGTCTCAGAGAGCCACTGCCTCTTTCAGTCCAGGACAATGAGGCTTTATTAAATAAAAAAAGCCGGCAGTTGATCTAAAGTGGAAAATGAAGTAGAAATTGACAACCAAGATAGACACATTGGGGAAAAAAACACAAACCTACCTCTGTGCTCTCTCTCTCTCCCCCACCGTTCCCTATATATAATATCAAACCTCATGTAAAAGGTTGGTCATCCTCCCAAAAAGCAGCAGTGCCGGTAAAACATCAGGTAAAATGCTTCACATAGGTAAGCCCAAAGACATTGTTTAATACATTAAAGATGTTTCCCAATAAATCTTCATGGAACAACAACATACCTGCAACACATTGTATTCTGCTTCTTCACCTGTTGTTACTTCAACTTTATCAAATATATATCTTTCTCTTGGTTTGCTAGATATGTAAGCAGCAGCTGATTCTATTAGTGATGTATCCTTGGCAAAAAGTGGTGCTATTAAAGAAGAGGGAGAACAATAGGAATACAATACCAGAAAATCCTGAAATTTCTACAGAAGAAAGCTGATTAGCCACAGTGTGTGGTCTGAGTATCACTGATGGCTTGAATCCTGAGGAATATGGGTCTGATTCCAAATCAATGAGGAATTAATTAGATTTTGATATTGTAATGGAAATCTCAAGGCTTGAGAATCTGGCAGGCCTGATTCTGCAGCAGACCCGGCAGCAAAATAAGGGTTCGTGTCTTGAGATTCTCTCAGAATTCGCATCTCAGGAACAATTGCAAAAAGAAGGTGGCACTGGGAGGCACAGTTTCCTCCACAAAATCACAAAGTTCCTGCTCCCAACTGTGTTTCTGTGCCTCCCGTTTTTAAATCACTCTCCACAGTGTGTTTGGCGAAGTCTATGTCCCTGCCAAAATGAAACTTTGTAGCCCCCTCCAAAATCCTCTTAGAGTAGGGTATCGCCACCTGCTTGACACAGGTAATTCAGGTAACTAGGTTATCTTGACAGATGGCTGGGTGGCTATTCTACTTCTGCCTGATGACCAGCACCAAAGGTGAGTCTACCAGCCAGTAATTGGTTCCATTGTTGAACTATCCTTACTATTAAGAAGTCTCTCCTAATGTTCACCTGAAACCTGGTGCGCTTACCTGAAGGAGCGCTTACATCCATATTTGCCCAGTCGCCCCCTGAGATCGGCAGGAGAGGCCCTTCTCCGGGAGCCCTCCGTGAGAGAAATTAGGAGGGTGGCTACTCGGAGAAGGGCTTTCTCAGCAGTGGCGCCTAAGTTATGGAATGCGCTCCCCAGAGAGGTCCGCCTGGCGCCGTCGTTATTTGTTTTTCGGCGCCAGGCTAAGACCTTTTTATTTAAGCAACATTTTAAATGCTAAATACAATTGAATTTTATCTGGCCAGGGCGGCTTATTTTATAATGTGTGTTTTAATTAAGATTATTTTATATGGATTTTAACTTATTGTTTTATCGATGTTGTAAGCCGCCCCGAGGCTTCGGCGAATGGGGCGGCATAAAAATGTTTTAATAAATAAATAAATAAATAAATAAATAAGTACTGGATAGGAGAGGTCGATAGTCTAAGTCAGTATAAGGCTGTTTTGCCCATTCATATGGCAACTTTTTTGGTGCCTCTGAAATTAGACATAGGTGGTGATTCACAGGCTAAATAGTGCATGAATTTTGCATACTGAAGATCCCAGTCCCCAGCATCTTCGCAGAAGGACTGTGGCCAAGTGGCAGAGCAGATGCATGCAGAAGATCCTAGGTTAGGTTCCTGGCTAGGACCTGACCTGTCCTGGGTAGGGCTTGAAATAATCCTGCCTGAAACCCAGTATACTGGACTAGATGGACCAGTCATCTGACTCAGAATAAGATAACTTCCTATAAACAAAAATGGATCAGAAGACATGTGATATGAAAGACCTTGGAAAGCTCATCACCAGTAAGAGCAAGTAGCAATGGACTGGATGGGACCCAGCAGGCTCACCTGGTATAAGGCAGCTTCCCCAACACAGTGCCTTCCAAATATTTTGGACCAACTCCCATCAGTTCCAGCCAAAAAGAGTAATGGCCAGGCATGCTAGAAGTTATGCTTTAAAGCATCTGCTGAGCACCAGGCTGGGGGATGCTTATCCTAGATATGAACACTGAACACAATGACGACACATACACTATCATGAAAAAAGCAACAGAGTAAGGTTTATGCTGTTCCATTGCTGCGGAACACGACCTACTTGTCCAAGGAGGAGTGGAACAGAAGCCAGTGGTAACCATGGGACTTCTTTCATTGTCCTGCAGTTCTCCCTTAGAATTCAGCTCTGGAGGTTTCTCAGGCCTCTAAGAAAATTGGAGAAAGACATTACAGCTGAAGAGACAGGAATGAGAAACAGGCCAGAATTGTCTGTCTGTGTCTTTTGCGTGGCAGGAGAAGAACAGAGCCAATTCTTGCCTCTGCACTCCTCCCACTTCAGTGTCTTATTGGCAGCCACATTGTTTGGGGTCTTAACCTGTATGAAGTTCTTTTAGAAGACAAGACAGCTGAACAAGACTCAAATTCAGTAGGGCATGAAATAAATGTAAATATTTGCAAAACTTACAAATTTTAAGGTATGGATAGAAAGCATGCAGTCCTCCAGATGTTGTTGGACTACAGCTCCTATCATCACTCACCATAGATTATTCTGAATGAGGCTGATGGGAGTTGCAATCCACTAACATTTGGAGAGCCAGAAGTTTCCCGCCATGGATATATGGTGCTGTATTAATATTTGGGATTATATTTCAGCTGAGTTTCTGTTCTCTTGTCTTGACCAATGAAACAGAAATATTTAATACTTACCAAAACTCTTTCCAGTATGTTTTCTCCAAATACAAAATCACAATTATTACTGGATGAGAAAGTTCTGCCTTCGGGTAAGTGACTGCTTAAACAAGGAAAGAGAAATCCACATCAACTTAAGGTAATAAAAATTGAAAAATCTAAAGCCAGTTAAAATGTAGGTGTATTAGGGACACCCCCATGCCAACTATTTCATTCATCGAAATCATTCATTCCTTCTAGAGAAAATAATAAATATATAATAATTATTAACAATAATAATGGGTGGGTTACAAGAACAATGCATAAAAATACAATATAATAAAAACAAAGCATTACAATAAATGAGACCTAGCTAAACTGTGCAGTAAATCTGACCTGTAAAAGGAACAATAGCATCACCAGGGGTAGGTAATCCCCTCAAGCCCCTGGATGGCTGAGTACATCTTTAAAAGGTTCAGGATAAATGGCCATCTTAAGCTGGCACTGAAAAGATGACTAATTTTGTGCCAGGCAGGCAGCAGTGGAAATTTTGTTCCATAGATAAGGGGCCACCACAGAGAAAGCCCTCCTCTTCGAGCCTTCCTTGGAGTTAGCACTCGGAGGAAGGTCCCAGTGGATGAGCAGTGTGTTGGGAGTGGCATTCCAACAAATATTGTCGTAAGGCTTTATAGGTTAAAAGCAGTTAAAATTCACTGTATTAGAATTTTTGTAAACTTGAGTATGTACAAAAGAAAGCCCTTCTCCTGTGTAAGTCTTGTGGTCCTTTTGAGATTTTCTTCTCCCTCCATAAAATACGAAGGACACAGTGCTTCTCCAGAGTCTGACTTGGCAATCCAAGATTGTTAGCTACAGATATCCATTGATTGCACCTTCTGTGCTTGTAAAGTCCTGAACTGGGAGGCTTACAATCCTTCTTGGCAGGGCAAGAAGAGTGTTGGAGGCAACCCTGGCTTCCCAGTGCTCCTGCCTTGCCTTTTTGTCTAGAAGGGTTGTTTTGCCCCTCTAGTGAGGACATTGTGGAGTGGGAGGGAAGGTGGTTGGTAGAGACTCAGGATGTTCTGGCCTTCCCAATCTCTTCTCCTCCCTGCCACCAAAATGTTTCTCTCCCCCCCACCCCTGCTGAATCTCTGAGCTCAGAGGCTGGGCAGTGTGGTTGTTTTCATGCTAGCTGTGATGGGAATGGGGTCTGGCCTCTGCCTTCTCTGGATTCTCCCTCCCAAATCTCTGACAGGGAAATCTGAATACTCTGATGGCCCCTCAGATGCTGTTTGAGGGCCACAGGATTGCTTTCTCCAGATGGTAAACCAATTTGGTGAATGCTAATTTCTTGACCAAAAATCAGAATACATTTCAGTGAACTTACTGCATTATTTTATGGTCTGAAACATGAAGAGAGAGAAGTGGTCTTTCTGAGTTACCTCTCCAGGAACAATTGTCTTCAGATACCTAGCAAAGAATTTATTAAATCAGTTATGTTTTTCTGGGTCTTGATAAGGAGATTCTTCGATGTCAGGTGGTATGGAAGTAGCTTCAATAAACAAATCAGTAAATAATGCATAGCATTGCTAGGTATGTAGGACAGCAACCCCTGACTACTTTATTCCACCACAGGAACATACATTACCAGAAATAAGCCACAATGGCTGGTTTAAAACAACATTCCCTTAACAATATAAGCTGCCCTTCATATTGGTATTTCTGAGATTGCAGAAATCTTTCAAGGCACCCACCAAGACAAAAGAAGTAGTGGGAAAACATGTGTTTTTACACTTATAAAAACAGAAAACTACATTCTTTGGAGGCATGGTAAAATTGCAGGGGGACTGCAGAATAAAAGTCTAATCTAGAAGGACTCAAAATCTCATTCCATAAATTACCACCAATTCTACTATTATTATATTACATTTTGATTACGTCTTTCTTCCTCTTGAAAGGAACCCAAAGAAACCTACAAGATCCTCCTTCCAATGTATCTCACAACAACCCTGTGAGGTAGGTTAGGGTAAGAGGACTTGGATGGCCCAAAATCACAGACTAAGCTTCATGGCAAGTGGGGACTGGAACCCCAATCTCTGCAGCCTCAGTCCAGCACTCTAACATTACATTTTACCTCAGTGACTACTTCAGGTTTAGCCTCCAGAACGTTTTTGGCACATATCTTCATCGCTAATCTACCTCGAGCAGCTTGTGGAGGTTGTAAGATGGCAGGCCTTAAAACATCCTTTACATTCTTTGATGGAAAACCTTGAAAAATAGCAAAAAGGGGGATTTTAATTTTTATTAACACTTCCTGTTAATTTTTATTGTCTCTTCCTGTTGCAAAAGTGAACACCTCCCTCAGGATGCAGTTAATGACCAGAAAGTTAGCCCTGTTAGTCTGTAGCAGCAAAAACAACAAAAGTCTTGTAGTACCTCAAAGATTAACAAAATTATTTATTCTCTTACACACTTTCATGAACACCATCCTTTTATCTGAAGCATGAGCAGTTAATCTCAGGTTGGCTGATCTTTCATAATGGTGTTGTCAATAGAAACATAGAAACAGAGCGAGTCAGAAGGGGTCTCCCGGGCCATCTAGTCTAACCCCCTGCTCCAACCAGCTCCGCTCATGACATGCCCACCATGTGCATGTCCAGCCTATCTTTGAACACCCTCACTGATGGGGCCTCAATAACCTCTCGTGGAAGCCCATTCCACACCCTCGGAGTCCTAACCATCAGGAAGAGCTTCCTGGCATCTAAATTGCACTTGGGTTCCCTGAGCTTTGCTCCGTTGGAGCGCGTCCTGCCTTCCTCTGCAGGGGAGAACTGGTCTCTACCCACCTCCGTGTGAGACCCCCTCACATACCTGTATGTCGCCAACATATCCCCTCTGAGTCTCCTCTTCTCCAGGCTGAAGAGACCCAGTTCCCTCAGTCTCGCTTCATAAGGCATCCCCTGCAAACCAGCCACCAACCTTGTGGCCCTAGGCTGCACTGACTCTAACCGGGCTATATCCTTCCTGAAATGAGGGGCCAAAAACTGAGCAAAATATTCCAGTTGTGGGTGCACCAGAGTCGTATAGAGTGGTAGTAATACCTCTTTCGATCTAGAAGGCACACTGCTGGCTATGCAATCATTATGTGCCTGTCTTACTGAAGGAATACTGCAGCTAGGCCATCTTAAGTCTTTCTAGATGTTTTGGTCTAGTTCCCCCCACCTGAACCCCCTCACCTTTCTCTTGCCCCTGCACACTAAACTAAGAGTTCCAAAATTTCCAAACCTGGCATATATGTATGTATAAATCAGACAACATTTGGAGCAAAGGCATATCTGAGAATGACATGGAATTAAAAGGATTTTGAACATACATGCAACCTGATCTGCACATTCTCCAAGGCCCAGCTGCTTCCTGACGTGCATGGCAAGATCTCATGCCTAGAAAAGGTTTCCTTAATAGCCAGTCTTTAAACAGCAGGAGGGATTGGTCCTACAGCACTATGATAATTTGACTTACCTTTCTCTGTGTCTTTCACAGCCACATTCTGTTGTAGCAGCTCAGAGGTCATGAATATGTTATTCTTCACTATAAAAAAAAAAATTTGTCTAAAGTATTCAGCAAAATCCATTTTCTATTCCACCTTCACATTTTCACAATATTCATCACTAAAATGTGTGAGTTCCATTTTCCAAAATATTCCAAGACTCTTTTAAAAAGAAAAACCTCTCACAAAACTATTTCTTTTATCAGAAACAGTGCACATGGGAAAAGGGCAAAACCTTGTCCAGATTACACAGTTCAGTTACCATGAGAAGCTGGGTGTCTTAGGAATTTTTCAGTCTAAACCTGCATAGAACTAGACCTCAAGATTCCTAACTTACTCGGGAAAAGAGGCCAGGAAGCCTTCCTTGAGTAGCTTTCTGAACAGCTCATCATTACTGCCCATTCTAAAAACATTCCAACCATCAAAATTATGCCACGACACCTCATTTTTCCCTGGTACACACCTATAACCCAAATATAGGGCAAAAGTTCCATTAAAAAGGGGAGATTTTGAAAAGCATTCCTTGAGTAGCTTTTTCTGCACAGCTTATCCTTTCTGCCTATTATAAACACATTCAAACCATCAACATCATGCCAGGACACATAGTTTTTCTAACCCTAACCATACCCTGGTACACACCCCTAACCCTAATGTAGGGCTAAAGGTCCATTAAGAAGGGCCAATTTTGAAAAAGCCTCCGTTGAGCAGCTTTTTCTATGCAGCTCATCATTTCTGCCCATTATGAACACATTCCCACCATCAAAATCATACCAGGACAACACGTTTTTCTATCCCTAACCATACCCTGGTGCACACCCCTAACCCTAATATAGGGCTACATTACCATTCAACAGAGGTGATTTTGAAAAACTTCCTTGCGTAGCTTTTTCTGCACAGCTCATCCTTTCCACTCACTCTAAACACATTCCAACGATCAAAACCATGCCAGGACACCTCGTTTTTCTAACCCTAGCCCTACACTGGTGCACAACCCTGATCGTAATATGGGGCTAAAGGTCCATTAAAAACAGGTGATTTTGGAAAAGCCTTCTTCCACTTGATTTCCTGCACAGCTCATCAATTCTACCCACTCTAAACACTTTCCAAGCATCAAAATCAGGCCAGGACACCTTATTTTTCAAACCATAACCCTCCTCTGGTGCACAACCCTAACACTAATTTGGGGGAGTAAAGTTCCATTCAAAAGAGGTGATTTTGAAAAAGCCTTCTTTGAGTAGCTTTTTCTGTACAGCTCATCCATTCTGCACATTCTAAACAATTTCCAACCATCAAAACCATGCCAAGACACTTCGTTTTTGTAATCCTAGCCCTACCCGGGTGCACAACCATTACCCTAATTTCGGGGGGGTAAAGTTCCACTCAAAAGAGGAGATTTTGAAAAAGCCTTCCTTGAGTAGCTTTTTCTGCACAGCTCATCCTTTCTGCCCACTCTAAACACTTTCCAACCATGAAAACCAGGCCAGGACACTTGGTTTCTCTAACCCTAACCCTAGCTTGGTGCACAAGCCTAACCCTAATTTAGTGGGGTAAAGTTCCATTCAAAAGAGGTGATTTTGAAAAAGCCTTCTTTGCGTAGCTTTTTCCATACAGCTCATCCATTCTGCGCACTCTAAACACATTCCCATCATCAAAA